CTTGGAAAGCTGATGCAGAGCTTCGCTTCACATCCTTGGTGAGGCTGGCTGTTGCGTACGGGTACGTATACAGAGCAAGTTGTGTGTAAGCCTGTGTTAATGTGTACAGAGCAGGTGGAAGAGTCTAGACTCTCGGGCAGGAAGGCTGTGGAGTTAGACAGCTATTAACCTGTCGAGAAGCACACCTAGCTCCCAGATCAAAGCCAGGGGAGCCTCTGGCCAGCGATGCTCCCCGTGTACCCAAGCCAAACAAACCTGAGGCATTCATGGAGGTTACACATCCTCCAGCACGCAGCTGAAAGGAAGGGTCTGTATTTTCTCCCTGGAAACTTCGGAGAATGTAACCTTCCAGCTTTCAAGATAAACAGTTGTAGTCACAGCCCAGCAATGCTGGCAGATGGACCTGTGCCTCATCATGCGTGTGCACACGCACCCCACACCATTCCTCTGGCTCCTGTAGGCGAAAGGGATCCTTGCTCTAAAGCAAGTTGCTGCTGCCCCAGGAGCTGGTTCCTCTTGCCAACTGTACCCTGACTTTGCTGTGCCACTGGCTGGGCTTTGGCAGCACTGCCCTGGTTGGGGAGAGCACCAAGGAGGGGATGAAACATGAAAAGTCAGTGGGGAGAGGGAGAGAAAGATGACATCATAAGGACATGGAACCATTGGAACAAGTCCAGAGGAGGCCACAAGGATGACCAGGGGCTGGAGCACCTCCCGTATGAAGACAGGCTGAGAAAGTTGGGGCTGTTCAGCCTGGAGAAGCTGCGTGGAGACCTCAGAGCAGCTTCCAGTGTCTGAAGGGGGCTACAGGGATGCTGGAGAGGGACTCTTCATCAGGGTTTGTTTCAACAGGACAAGGGGTGATGGGTTCAAATTGAAACGGGAGATTGAGATGAGCTCTTAGGCAGAAGCTCTTCCCTGGCAGGGTGCTGAGGCGCTGGCAGAGGGTGCCCAGAGAAGCTGTGGCTGCCCCATCCCTGGCAGTGTTCAAGGCCAGGTTGGACACAGGGGCTTGGAGCAACCTGCTCTAGTGGAAGGTGTCCCTGCCACGGGTAGGGTTGGGACTGGAGGAGCTTCATGGATTTTATGTTTCTATGATCATCCTGGTTTAATAGATAAACTACCCACATTCATTTGCAAAGCTGAAGTGATTTGCCTGATGGTGTGAAGCAGGGAACCTGGCATCAGTGGCTCCTGGATGACATCACAACCTTCTGGATGAGCTCAGGACAAAAGACCAGCCTCCTCCATGTGCCTTAGCAGTGGGTGTGTGCAGGTACCATTGTCAATGGAGCAGTCATGGGTGTGTGCAAGGGGTGCCTGCACAGCCTGACCCTACTCCCACCATCCATGCCCCCCCCAGCACCCCATTAGCTCTAGCTCAGCACCAGGAGGTGGTTTCTCTGTGGATGCTGCTCACTTTTCACCATAGGTGTGGTCACACTCTTAACAAACATCCT